TACTATACGCACTATACGTAAAGTATCGTATAGTGTCGTATAGTGTTCAACTATACGCCATTTGCCCATCTCTAGTTATTTCCTTTTGCATAGTCACCTTTGTATGAACTTTAAAAAAATTTATTAATTCGACTTTTTGAAACTGGCTGTCTATTCCTAAATTACTTTTAAAGATAGTTGTAATATTCATTCTCCCCAAGAACATATCGGGATGTATAGCAATTGAAGTAAAAATCTTCACTTTGATTCTGATCGAGGATATTGTAGTTGATTGTGTCAGCTGCAGCTGAAATAAATGGGCCATAGCTCTCTTCACTAAGAGGTAGTTTTTTACAAATCAGTAAATTTTTCTAAGATAAACGTAAAAGTGTAGTAACATCTACTATTTAAAAAGAATTAGTTCACTTTGTTACGCCACAGCAATTAATTATTATTTTGGGTACGTTGTAAACAGTGTGAAATTGAAATCTATAATATAATAATAATAATAACAATAACAACAATAAATTATTATTATTATTATTAAAATTTTGGGGTGGGGTGTTTGGGTATGAAATCTTGATTGGCTAATTTGAATTTCACGTACGTGGATTGCAAATTCATTTTCACAGTATAAGAAATTTTTTATAAGCCATATCCACATGAAATTATGTAATTTTTTTGGCGTGAAAGTTAGCACTTTTAGTTTAGATTATTCCCATTAATAAAAGCAAAAAAAATTTAGTTGTAAACAATTGATTGGTTCAAAAAAAGTTTTCAAATTCCAGTTCCAACTAAATTTCTTATGTTAACTAACAAATAAAACAATGTCTTTTTTTAATAATTTATCAGAAAACTTTGGCTCTTTACTAGATGATGTTTATGACCATAATGTGTTGATAACTGTTGGGAAAAAACCAAATATTAAGGAATTCAAAGCTCATTCAAATATTTTAAGAGTTCGTTCACCATATTTCAACAGTGCTCTATCAAAAGATTGGGCTCATAAAAAAAATGATAAAATTATTTTTAATAAACCAAATATTGACCCTGTGGTTTTCTCTTTAATACTCAAGTAATTTTGATTTTATTATTATTAAATTTTTTCAAAACAAATTATTTCTAGTAACATTTATGCTTATTTTAATACATATTATATTAAATATATACATATTATATATATAATAATATTTAGATATATTTATATGGGCAAGATTGATCTGAATAATGCAGTTGGATCAGATATTCTTGGAATTTTGGTGGCATCTGATGAATTATTATTAGATGAACTATATGAGTTTGTTGAGGATCATCTAATTAAAAATCAATCAAATTGGATTAAAGAAAATTATGTTGAAGTTTTACACACCATCTATTTATTACCCAAATGTGTGAAATTGAAAGAATATTGTTTAAATTCAATATGTGAATCTCCCAAATCATTCTTTGCTTCAACAAGCTTTCCAATTATAGAAAAAAATATTTTACATGATTTGTTAATGCAGGATGATTTGAAAATGGAAGAAACTGACATTTGGACTAGTTTAATTGAATGGGGTATTTATCAAACTAATTTAAACTCTGATGTTACAACATGGAGTGCAGATGATTTTGATAATTTGAAAAAGAATTTATCAAAATTTGTTAAATCAATTAGATTTTATCAAATTTCTTCAGCTGATTTTTTTCATAAAGTTAGACCTTATAAATCAATTATACCATTTGATCTATATGAAGATATTGTATCATACCACATGACATCCAGCAGCCCAAAATATCCTAATTTGCTGTCTAGATCTAATTTTAAGATTGATTCTTCTTTGATAAAACCAGAGCAATTAAAGATAATTATCAATTGGATCAGAAATGAAAAAAACATCAATTCTACCTCACCTAAAAATAAATACACATTTACTCTTTTATACAAGGCATCACATGATGGTTTTCAAAATAATACATTTAATAATAAATGTGAAAGTCAAGGCTCTTGTCTTGTAGTTACAAAATGTAATGAAACAAACAAGATTATTGGTGGATATACTTCAGTTGGATTTATTTATCAGAATGGCTTTTATGCTGATTCTCAAAGTTTTTTATTTTCTTTTGATTTTAATGAAATCACAAATCCAACCATTTGTCATGTGAAACTGAAGGAATATTGTTTAAGTTTAATATGTAATTCTCCTAAATCATTTTTTGTTTTAAAAAGCTATTCATCTATAGGAAAAGATATTCTATTTGATTTATCAATGCGGGATGATTTGAGTATGGATGAAGTTGATATCTGGAATAATTTAATTGAATGGGGTGTTCATCAAACAAATGAATTGGATTTAAACCCTGATGTTACAACTTGGGATACAGATGGTCTTGAAGCTTTGAAAAAGAATTTATCAAAATTTGTTAAATCAATTAGATTTTATCAAATTTCTTCAACTGATTTTTTTCATAAAGTTAGACCTTATAAATCAATTATACCATTTGATTTATATGAAGATATTGTATCATATCATATGACATCCAGTATCCCAAAATATCCTAATTTGCTGTCTAGATCTAATTTTAAGATTGATTCTTCTTTGATAAAACCAGAGCAATTAAAGATAATTATCAATTGGATCAGAAATGAAAAAAACATCAATTCTACCTCACCTAAAAATAAATACACATTTACTCTTTTATACAAGGCATCACATGATGGTTTTCAAAATAATACATTTAATAATAAATGTGAAAGTCAAGGCTCTTGTCTTGTAGTTACAAAATGTAATGAAACAAACAAGATTATTGGTGGATATACTTCAGTTGGATTTATTTATCAGAATGGCTTTTATGCTGATTCTCAAAGTTTTTTATTTTCTTTTGATTTTAATGAAATCACAAATCCAACCATTTGTCATGTACAAAGTTACAGTCATGCTCTTTATAATGATTATGATGATGGTTATTTGTATAATTGTCATGGTTATAATCGTAATAATCGTAATAATCGTAATAATCGTAATAATCGTAATAATCGTAATTATCGTTATAATCATGATGGTTATAATAAAAGTATTTTTAATTTTGGATATGGTGATTTAATGATGGATAATAATATTATTAGTTGTGACAGTGGCAATGATTATTACAAAAAGGTTGATTTACTCAATAATAATACAAATAATTTTAATGCAAGTGAAATTGAGGCATTCAAAGTGCAATTTAATAGCTAATTTCTAAAATGGAAAACTTATAAAATCAGATATAAAATTTTTCAATTAAAATAATTTTATTATTATTATTATTAAATTTTTAAAAGATCATTGTCAAAGAATCAAAAATACAATATTTTTTAGTCATGACTTCAAAACATAATTTATGACTAAAATTAGAATTAATATTAATTTTTACCTCCAAATAATTGCTTTTGCTTTTTCTTCATTAGATAATCCCAAATCTATTATTTTATATCAATGTTATTATTTACTTTTTTATAATGTAAACCCTTGCATTTGTTAATTGCTTATTGCATGTCATATTAAAAATGATTATTCTCCTAGAAACTTTGGCTATAATGTGATGCAAATTTTTGTATTTAATGATAAAATTATATTGATAATGTGCAGTATCAAATAATTAATATGCTATGTTTGTAGAGACACTTCCTGGGAGCTCAAAACATTTTCAAAATTGTAGTGTGATGAGTTATTGGGGTGTCTTACATTATATGATTTTACAAACATAGTCAATCACATATATAAATTTTCATATATGACAATTTTATGCTGATCTTTTTTTCAATAGTAAACTTTGAATGATTATAACTCTTTAAAGAATAGAGATACTGGCTCCAAGTTAAGTTTAAAACATACTAGAGAAATAGGACAATAAAGTAATAGAGCCCTTTTTTTTAATTTTAATATAAACAATGACATTATTTTAAGCTAGAAAATCAAAGTAAAAGTTGTGAATATATGTTACAAAATTTTATGCAAGTAAAATTGTAAAAAG